CATCTTCATATCCGTCCGGTATGAGTGCCAAAAATACCATTCCTCAATATCTCATTCAGTGTGAGGATGAATCAGGTCGTTCTCATACCCCGTCCGCTATGAACGCCAAAAATATTATTCATTGAATACCTCATCCGGTATGAGGCAACGTTCACGATAGGATTTCTAATGTACCTGATCCGTCCACTATCTTCCAGGATATCCAGTAAGATTACCATTCATTAATTCATATAACCAATCAATTTTTCATTTGCATATTAATTTTTAATTTCACAAATCAACCGTAAATCACGCAAGACAAGCAATATATATATATATATATATCAAATAAACACAATTGAATCATTCAACCATTTCAGTATATCATCATGTATTTAAAACTGTAAATTCAACAATCAGTTACACATGACAACAAATAAATGACTAACCGGTTTTGCCTCCATTAGTAACCTATAATTATTCTCAAAGTTTTGTAAATTATATAAAATACCATATTATCGATTATTAAGGTTTAATTCCATAACAGAGAATAAGGTGAGAGATTTTTATCCGAATCAGTATCTGAAATACTGAATTTTTTACTGCGCTTACTGGCGGTCCCCAGGTTTCTTAAATTTTTCTGCGGAGATTGAAACATGTTTCACATACCTAAAAATACCGCAAAAAATAAAAAATTGATGTTAAAAACTTTTTCTAGTCAATTTCAGAATTTTGGCACGGTGACATCGCCGCCCACGATGGCGGTTTGCCTCGACCTGACCGTTTTCGGCCAGTTTTGACCGCTTTTATACCCATCATTGTGAGAAAACACGTTAAAAGGTCTCGATTGGTCGAAAAAAGTCAAAAAACAGAAACCTACAGGTGGTAAAAATTTTTGGTGCAGTGGCTATGCTGGCTCACCTTCGCGGATGGACGTTTTTCTTTAGTCAACCTATAAAAAATAGAACGGTGAACACAATTGTGAAAAAATTGTACGAAACGAAAAACAAGAAGAGGTTCATCGGAGGAGGTTTCGAGTTTTGCCCACGGATTTTGGCTCACCTGCCATTCTTTTTACTCTGATTTGGCCATGGGGGTGCTTGGAATCAAATTATGAGCGGATAGGAGAATTTTTACCTTTTTTTTCGGTCGGAGGTGGCTCCAGCGCAGCGGCGTGCGGCGATTAGCTCCCTTATTTTGCGACTAATTCTTCTTCTCCCACGGGAGGCTGGCGACTAGGGTTTGGGTTCGGTGTGATGTCAAATATTTATACCCGTCTAGCGTTAATCTGAATGTTCATCGCATTTGATCTCGACAGTCCAATTGCATTTAAAGAGGAAATAAATTTTGATTGTTCATCGCAATTTGATCTCGACTGTCTGATCGTGTTTAAAGAGAGAACAAATTTGGACCGTTTGTCGCGTTTAATCGCGATCGTCTGATCGCGCCTGAGGAAGGAACAGATCCGGACTGTCCACGTGCGCGGGAATGCTTCCAGGTCATCCGATCGTTGGGCACACGGATTGTCAGTGTGCCTTGCCACGCGACGCACTCTACTTCGTCGAAGTTGTTGACTAGGCAGTCTTACGTGACGCAATTTTCTTTAATTGCGTTCTGACCCCTAGTTTTTAATTTTTCTTTCAAAAATACCATCTGAACCTAACTTTTCACCCTTTTTGCTCAAAGTTGTTTTCAATTTCGTTCTCAACCTATTTTTTTTTCTATAATTTCACATTAAATTAAATTTTATTACTTTTAAAATTAGATTTTTATACATTTATAGTTTATAATCAATTAAAATTTAAATAAATAACTAGTACAAAAGATATATTTATAGTTAATTAAAAATTAAATTCTAATTTTAAATTTAAAAAAATTTAAATAGACAACTAGTATAAATATATCCAATTTAATTCCTAAAATATAGGCAATGTTACATTTTTATTTTGAATATTATTTTCATTACAAGTAGTATCTAAATTTTTAAAATTATTTCCAAAAACTTAGCCCCCCATTAAACTATGAATGGAAACATTATATGTAATTTATGACTTATTTATAGAAAAAAAAAGGATCACAAAAGAAAATTAAAAAACAAAACTAATTTTAATTTACTATGTTAAATCTTAATATTAATTAAAAATAAGTTATTGTTAATTAAAAAATTAAAAATTCTTCGTCTTTGATAACTTATCAATGAGACATTTCTTTTAATAGAGTAATTCTCGGTATAAAAAAAAATTATAGAGATGATTTCTCAATAAGACATTCTCTCACAAATCATTTCTTTTATATTTTTATGATAAAAGCAATACATTCTAAATTTTTTATGTAACAACCCCGAAAATCCAAAAGAAAATATATAATAATTTAAGTGCGGATGCGAAATAAAATGTTAAAGTTTACATCATTTTCACAATAACTTAAAAGTACTAAACAACATTACGGAATGAATACTCTGAAAGAAACACGAGGAATAAGAAAAGTAATGGAAAATAGAAAGTATCTAGCATCTACTTGCAATCTTTTTACGGATCGGGCTCTGGAACCGGGTCTTCTTGATTTGAAATGGTTAAATAAAGGATGAGCTATACTAGTCCAGTAAGGATATCACACTATATCACCGGCACAGAAGTAAATGTTGGTATAAAATCAAAACAACTAATGGAGCACTAAATTTAGCAAATTCGTTTATCAATCATAAAATCATTTCTCGTTAACTTACCATAATGGAATTTATGAAAATAATATATAAAAACAATAATACCATACAGATCATAATTTTATGAACCATCAGCAACGTAGAATGTATTATAAATCCATATCTATTAACAATAAATTAAATCATAACCGTTTCTCATTTCACCAGCCTATTAGTATCCATTGAGGTTCATAGAGGTGTCCCCGCTACACGTGAACCCCTTCCCTTAACACTTTCAATTCCAGGGCCGTCCCCATATTCCGTCCGGTATGAGCACTAAGACATTAAACCTCAATACCCCGTTTGGTATGAGGGTGAAACGGACCGTCCCCATACCCCGTCCGGTATGAGACAACGTTCATGGTAGGGTTCCCTATGTACCCAGTCTATCCACCATCTCCCAAGATATCTAGTAAGACTGATATTCTATCTGTTTATTTGATCACACCCCTTTTCTGTTTTCATTTAGTTTCTATTACCAAATCAAACATAATCACATAAACAAATAAATATGCATCCGGTCATGC